TAACATAGATTTCCATATTTCTACATTACCTTAATTTGTCCAAAGGCCTGAAATTTATTTGCACTGGTGAGGTTCACAGATGTTGATATCAGCCTTTTGGATTTGGTCGGATAGCTCATTACACTAATTTCAACCATTAAATTGCTTTCATCGGTGCAGTCTTGACACTCCACAAAGATGTTTTGTGCTGTTCCTACCCCCAACAAGTTGGGGGCAGACATCACCTTCCTATGGAGCAGTGGTGAGACAGAGAGGAAAAAATTAAACATTGCTTCTAAGAACAGGCAAACACACTGTTGTTTACCACTGACAAATACAAAGATTTACTTTTATTTGTTTTTTCCCAAAAGCTGACGGGAAGTTCTGGTTTAAACAATATGTTTGACTCTCTTCTGCTTCGAACTGGACTTTACACATAATAAGTGATCCATTGATTATCTTGACTAAGGTACTAAGTACTAAGTCAATATAATATTTCATCACTGTTATTATTGTTTATTATGGTTGGGAGGGGGAAAATAAAAAAAACATCTAAAAAGTAATAAAAAGTTTAGTTACTTGCAACAGAATGTTAATTTATACAACAGAAACTGCTAAAAGACTAATCATTATGGAAGTAACAGATGAAATGCAATTATTGAAAATCTTTGCTCGTATAGGTTCAATTGGAAAACCAGTAAATCAGTAAAACAGTAGGGACAGAGTTCCCAGACAAAGACAGCTTTTATTTGAGCTTTAAAAATAGACTGGAACTGAAGCAGCATATTAAAATGAATTAAATAATACATTATTTCATCACTACCAAATTTAAATTTCATTGTCTCATCAAAGATATAGTGTATGATATAACACTCTGACATGTCTGAGGGGTGCAGAGCCTACATTTGATATTGTGCTGTACATATAAACATTACAGAAAATATTTAATAGCACCAGTAATATAAAAAAACAATAAATTCATGCTGTTATTTTACAGACAAACATTTTCAAATCACAAACTCTTGTAAACTTAGAGTTTGGATCTTGAACTCTACTTACATGGGTGATCCATCAGTCAGAAAAATTAAGGACAAAAAGGCCAGTGAGGCTAATAGCCAAAGCCGAGTCCTGTATGTCCCCCTGCTTGATCTCATATCTGCGCTTACCATACAACTCTGGAGCATTTTTATCCACGTAATGCCCTCCTTCTGCACTTTGACTTTGACCCAGTGCAGTTTTGCCCAATTAATGTTATTACTAGATCAGATAAAAAATCATTGAAAATGTTAAAAGTATGAACATTTGCATGCTAGAGCAGAGTTCTCTATGGTTTGATTTTAAAAAATCAGGACACACACTATCAGACTTAAATAGCAACCACCATCTTTTTTTCCAAAGCTAACACTGTTTGATAAGCTGCTGCATCTCCAGAAATTGGTGAACAGTATTTCGTTAAAAAGTAATATCTAATGCAGCATCATTCATATAAAAGATATGATTCTATTGCAACAGCAAGTATCATTTGTTCATGTTAAACTAAGAAAGGTAAAAGTAAAATGCAAAATCTTTCTCAGCAATGGAAATAGAATCAAATGAGATAATGTGTAACTGGAATAACACTTTATGATTGAGTTTTTGACACTTGGCCCAGAGGTTACTTGAAATTAGATTACTTGTGTGTGTGTGTGTGTGTGTGTGTATAAAGGTGTGTGTGTGTGTGTGTGTGTGTGTGAGAGAGAGAGAGAGAGAGAGAATAATCTTCTAACAGGTGTACTTAAAATTACTTATGTAGTACTTACAGTATAATCTGTATCTCCTTTCCTGTAAGATATCCATAATTTCCAAATAAAGTACCTTACATTTAATTGCAGAGTAATTAAATGTGGGGTGCCTGCAGAAAGTTGATTCTGTTCTGGACCTAGACATTCCCAAAGTCTTGAGTCAGCGAATGGCTACGTCCAGATGAACAGAATCAACTTTCTGGGCTTTTCTTACCTGGATGATTGTAAATGAAGCGATATATTTCTATAGTCTATATAATGCATCATCAAATTGCTGTATTAAAACAACATAAAATGCTGTCTACATGATAAATGCTGAAAAAGTCTTTTTTTTGTTTTTTAAATCTTCCTTCCTATGGGTTTTACCTATATTCAGTTCACGATCAGATCAGATTATCCTTTATGAGAAAGCACTGGGGGATGCTGGAAAGAAAAAAGAAAAACAACTTTTCTAACATCGAGAAACCTCTGGCAGAAACAGGACCTGGAAGTGGCAACCATCTGCTGACAGTTCACCTGTTTCTTCAGGGAAGAGATCATTATCAGGGCTAAACTGTTTCTCAACTGCCTGTCTGCGTGTATGTTTGAGAAAATGATGGATAAAAGTGTGTAAGAGTGCAGGATGTTAGTGGATTAGAGGAGACTGCTGCAGGGCCACAGTTTACTTTAGTAGCAGAAAAGGATCAGGATAATGAGGAGGACTCTGCTGCTACTGGCCTCTCTGGCCTTTGCTTCTCTGACGTCTGTGGCTGATGGAGCTCCGTTGTAAGTAGACTTGCTGTACTTTTACACATTTCCAGTGAGGTTGAATTAATTCACGAAAAATAAAGCTGTTTTGGTCAGTGTGATTATTGTGGATCCATGCAAAATGTTGGATTATATTTTCTTTTTGCATTTATATATTATTGCATGTATAGATTCACATTATTTAAGGGCTCATAGCTGGTATTTGAAGGTTTGTGAATGAATGAAAAAATTGGACATATTAATGAAACCTTGGTCAATCTACCTTTATTGCTAACTATATTTTATTTTTATCTTGTGTAATGTCCAATGTAACATAAGTCAATGTAATCTGGTATTTAAAATGATGCCAAGAAGTTTACTAAACTTTGTTCAGTTTGCACAACGGCACATTACCTCAGACAAGACAAACAAACTCCAGAGGCATAGTGAAAATATTAACAGACCCTGTTCTGGGTCTTAATCAAGACAATCAATTCATTACTCATTGTGTTTGACGTACAGCACAAAGCTCGCAACCAGTCTGAATTCACCAGTAAAATGACAGGACAGATTTTTAATTTAAATAGGTCAGCTCTATGCTGTCACTGCTGCTTTTTGTGAGCAAACAGTCATATACTGGAGGG